TGAAATTAATTTAAAATAACTTAAGTAACAACATAAACTTCTATTATTAATTACTCACCCTCATGTTATTCCAAACCATTAGACTTTTATATTCAAAACACAAATAAAACTGTTTTTAATGAAACCTGATGATCCATATGAATCAAGCGGTTTAATCCAAGTCTTCTGAAGAGATATGGTCACTTTATATGATGAAAAGGTTTAGTTTAGGCTTTTATTTACATATAAACAATGATTAATGCACACACATACAGCAGAGCACAGCAAATATGGTTAACAAGCTCAACTGTACTTGCTTGATGCACGAGAACAAATCTCATTGGTTCTCATATAGTTTTATTTTATGATCTTTTACATGCCAATGTTTTGGTTTAATGGACTTTCAATGGAGGGACATAAATCTCTTATTTCATTAATAATATCTTAATTTGTGTTGCAAAGATAAGCAACAGTTTTATGGCTTTGAAACACACAAGAGTGAGTAAATGGTGACAGTTTTATTTATTTTTTTTGGGGTGAACCATCCCTTTAAGTCCCATTGTGTCCCAAGCCCATAATTAAAAAAATTATTTAAATTATTTTTTAATGGATAAAATTAATTAATGCTTTAAAAATAACAGTGTCTGAATGGTTTGGGTTTTAATATTTCAGTAATGTAATAATATAACCCTGACTCGCTTGTAACCTTTTAAAAGTATTATAATTCATTTGCATAATTTGGAAAGGAGTGAAAAAAATTCTCAAAAAAATGTAGTTGGACTGCACTGAATTGAACGAAAAAACAACAGCTTGTAATAAAGAGCTAGGAATGCGATGCTGTGTTAATAAATGTGAGGAGTTAATTAGAAACATGAAATCACAAACAAAAGAGAACGCCTGAGGCAGACCTACTGGCAACATTGGTGTCCTGTTAGTAACACACACACACACACACAGAGAGAGAGAGAGAGAGAGAGAATCCATATGTCTCCTGTGTTCACTTCCGCCTGTTTTCAGAAACTACATTTAGTCAGTTAACTTGTCATAAGCATGAAAACAGTATTTCAAAACTTATAAAAATGATCTATGGTGTATTACGAGAATATGTTCAAATACAGCATACAGTAAATAGTACCAAAGATAAGGCTGTGTTTACACTGAATGTAGTGCTTTGGTTATATAAGACTGTTAAGTTATGTTTCTGAGGAAACGGCACAGAATACATTGGTTCCGTGAAGAACCTTTAACATCCATGAAAAAACAATTCACTGATAGGTTCTTCGAGGAACCAAAATGGCTCCTCAATGGCATTGCTGTGCCCCCTTTTGGTACCTTAATCTTTAATAGTGTATTAGTGTAAGTAAAAAATCATTGTTAGGACTCAAAAAAATAAGACAGTCTGGGCCTCAGATGCTGAGGGAATGTTATGCAGTTTGAGGTTTGTAGTGAGACATTTGTGTTGTGATATGTATTTATTGTCAGCAGCACCTTCACAAACACCCGAAAGGAAAATCGCTCGGTAACAATAACAAGCATTGCCACAGGCACAATTAAAGACTACACCTAAGTCTGCTGTCAGAAAGAATTAATGTAAGAGCGCACACACGCTCTGTCACACTCTCTTTCTTAATCTTACTCTTGGACTTTCTCTCTCTTGTTTTATTTCTCTCTTTTCTTTGAACCTGAACTTCTTCTGACTGGAATACATTCACACGTTACCTCTATCCAGTTAGCAGAGTACTCTTGAAATATGCATCTCACATCCATCTCTTTGTATCTTACACGAGAGTCAGTCATGTTGTTTTTCATACCCACACTTTTGCAGCAACGCTTAACCTGATTCAATCTTTATACCTCATGCGTCTTAAGTCAGTGTGAAAGTTTTTATTGTAATGCCATATTTGTTTGTTTATATGAGGTTAGTATTTTATTTAATAGGCTACTGCAGTAACATAGCTTCGTTTCGTTCAATACAAAAGCAAGGATAGCATTTGAATGAAGGTTTTTTTGTAGTACAGAAGCTCTTTTCCTGACCTTTAGATTAAACCTTAGGTTAAGCTTCTCTTTCCTGTCCTTTCAATAACCCTGAAGAACAACTGTGTGTAATGAAAATCAGCTGCAGTTTGACAAGGAAATGGGAGATGAAAGATACATATCAAAACTGATGCACTGATAAAAGTGATAAAAGTATAAATGTTTCAGATGCATATCACATCCTCAAGCTCTTGATTCTGAACTGGTGAAAAAGTATATATCACTTTGTCTGTCAAAGAAAAGGGTGATCTAAGGGTAAAAGATTAAAGTATAGGTCGATATTTTGTCTTCCTGCAGGAAGTGTGGTTTAATCCCTACTGTCTCACTCTGGATTACCACAGATAATTATCTGTCCAGACACATGCAGGTCACACACAAAATATGTTACACACAGACACACATCACACTCACATGCACAAACACAGGTCACACACTAGAGGCTAACTATAGGGACATAAGTTTAAATAATTACACAACACTTTTGTACATATTTCATATGTACTGACCAAGGAAGTCTATAATGCCTGAAGAAAGCTTTCCATTAACATTCCCATTCATCTTAATGACAGTTGCCCAGCAATTGCAGGGCCCCTCAGAGGTATGTGATCTGGATGCTCCCATCTTGGCTCCTAGGCACTTAGTTCCTGGTAACATTTGTTATGTGGCTGATTACTGGTCAAAGGCAGTGGGTAGAGAAACATTTATTTATTTATTTTTTCAAAATATCCAAAGGTCCCCACGGGTCCTTAAAAAGTGTAAAAATGTCATCTGTCAAATGTCAAAATGTCCAATTTAAGATCATAACAAATATCTTAAATGGTATAATGGCAAAAGTCTTAATTATCATTTTAAGAGGGATTAAATTTGGGGAAGGAAAACAGGAATCGTTATAAAGGTTAATGTGATTGTTAAACTTCAAATGGTGACCACCAGTATTTAGAAAAAAAAAAAAAAACCTGGAAGTCTGAGTTAGAATAGTTTCCAAGAGTGTGATTATAAACACAATGAGGCTGTGAAAGTCGACTAATGAGTAGATGAGTTTACCTGTCTGGTGTGGTGACATTTAATGTCCCCGATAACCTCTGTAGTCCCGTTTAGTAACTTTTTCAAGACATGCAAAAGCTTAAAAAAAATCACATCTTGAGCTTATGTTTACCACATACCTTATTTTAGGTATTTAACCAAATATAAACCCATCTATCTATCCATCCATCCATCCATCCACTATCTATCTATCTATCTATCTATCTATCTATCTATCTATCTATCTATCTATCTATCTATCTATCTATCCACATTTTGAGGATTCAAAAGTTGTATGTTATGTGTATCTAGTTTTATACAGCTGGTCTATTAGTCATGTTCGCTACACAATGTTTGTGTACATTTACATAATAGTGTCTCCTCTCTCAGCCACGTCTGTTTTTGTGAACAATCTTTGGTCATATTAGACTTTTACACCCCCATGTCTGTTATCAGAATGATTTGTGGGAAGTCTTCTGCTCTATATGAGTATTTGATTTTTCTCTGGGGGAAAGTTTCGTGTATTGAAATAAATTAATAAAACCCTAACCAGCATGACATTGGCAAAATTGCTGCTATACTGGGTGATATAAAATAATTGTTAAAAAAAATAGTTTGTGTTTATCTGAAAATCTGTGTTTGAGTGACAGATGTGCACAGTATTTTGTACAATGTGAAAGCTATTTCAACAGACTAAATTGGCCTTTTGAAGAAGGAGAAGTGTTCTCTTAAATTTACGTTCAAGGTATTTAGCAGATGCTGTTTTCCAGGGCAACTTACAAAATTGCTTTAGCATCACATACAAGACCATTGTTATCAACAGATGGCATGCATGCAATTTGGAAAGCTATCTTCTAGAAAGCAAGTGCTTCCTATGCTGGTATGAAAAAACAAGATAAAGCTTGACCTTTGACTACCTTTATTCTAGGTTGTGTACTACAACTAAGTGATTTGAACTGTGAGTGTAGCAGAGGTATGATGTGGGAGTACTTAGAAGTTCACAATATTATTTTTGTCATCAGGAGAGAAAGAGAGGAAGGTGTAGGTGGAGGGCTGAGTAGGGAGTAGAAGGTGCAAAAGAGTTTCCTCGGGGCAGCAGCGTCAAGCTTTGGTCCATAGCTTTTAGACAAGATTGGAATATGAGGTACAGTCATCTGGAGTTCCCTTATGTTCTGTCTGAGAACCCCTGTAAGCTATGGAAACTTGCTTCTGCCATGGGGTAAAAATAAATAAATAAATAATAAAACATGAAATTGTGACTTTTTATCTCACAGTTCTGATTATTTTTCTTGCACTTCTGAATTTATATCTAAATTTTGAGTTTGATAGAAAAAAAACCCATCAGAATTGCGAGATATTAACTCTAATCGCAAGTTTATAAATTGCAAGATAAAAACTTGAAATTGTGAGAAAAAAGTCAGAAGGATGGTTGAGACCTTATTATTATTTATTACATGGTAGAAACTATATATATATAGATATAGATATAGATATAGATATATAGATAGATAGATATAGATATAGATAAATTATGAGATGTAAACCAGTGTTGCCAAGTCACAAAATTCCACTGTTTCCGCAGGTATTACGTCAAAATTCTGAGAAAAGGAGTATGACAAAAAGTCAATTGCAATACAAAAATCAGAATTACAAGATAAAAAGCCACCGTTATCTTTTTTATCTTGTGGCAAAAGCAAGTTTCCAACCAGGCCTACTTGATGGAGGCAGAACAGAGAGTCAAAATAAGGGAAAGATGCAACAGTTGATGCTGCTGCTCCGATAATGGATACATCATAAGGTGCTGGTATGGTTAGGAAATCTGAGCGAAGTGAAGTGCCATTTGCTAACACCTTTGTATGAAGGTTTTGGTGTGGGTAAAAAAGACTAGGCAGAGGAGCACAGGCGTTAAGGTGTTTTCAGTAGTGCAAATATGTGTAATACATGTTTGTGTCTGTGGTCTGCAGGTGTATACACGGTATGGGAAATGTTACACATTTAATGGAAACAAGACATCACCCAAGCGGGTAAGGCAAGGCGGCACAGGAAATGGACTGGAGCTGATGCTGGATATTCAGCAGGACGAGTATCTGCCCATCTGGAGAGAAACCAGTGAGTGACAAACACAATTGCTGCCATTTTGCATCTCACTTAATGATTGTAGTGAAAATTACTTTGAAGCGTTTCAGTATTCATTGTACTGTTTACTGCAAATCTGATTGTTTTAGCATACTACCATACTACTTGATACTACCATTTAAAACGTTGGGGTCGGTAAGGTTTTGAAATGTCTTTTAATCTTACCAAGGCTGCAGTCACATATTTGACCAAAAATACACAGTACAAACAGTAATATTGTGAAATATTATTACAATTTATAGTAACTGTTTTCTAAATGTAATTTATTTCTGTGATGGCAAAGCTAAATTGTCAGCAGCCATTACTCCAGTCTTCAGTGTCACATGATCCTTCTCAAGAAACATTTCTTATCAACATTCTAAACATTATTTTGTGGGGAAATGTGATACTGTACATGATTCTTTAATAAACAGAAAGTTAAAAAAAGAATAGCAATCTTTTGTAACATTATAAATGCATACTGTCACCTTCCATTAATTTAATGTGAATATAAACATATATATATATAGATATATATATATATATATATATATATATATATATGCTAGAAGCAGAGCAGTTTTCAGTAACAAGGGACCAAAGGTTAGCAGATTGTAGCGGCTCAAAGGGAGGGCCCTTCAGGGCCATCAGAACAGTGGGCAGATCCCATGTAGGGACAGTGAGGCGGATTCAGCCTCCTGGCCCCCCTCAAGAAACGGACAACTAAGTTGTTCCTGCCCACCGATTGGCCCGCTATAGGAGGATGGGAAGCTGCTATAGCTGCTACATAGGCCTTGAGCGTGGATGGGGAGCGCCCTTTATCCAGCAGCTCTTGTAGGAAGGACAATACCACTGATAAGTCACAGGTAGACGGTCCTCTCCGCGGTTTAGGCCCCAGGTGGAGAAAACAGATCACTTATGGGCGTAGAGGCGTCTTGTAGACATAGCTCTACCCTCCAAAATAGTGTTTAACACACGCTCTGGGAGGTTTACAGACTCCCATCGAGCGGCCAAAGGTGCAGAGCCCACAGCTCAGGCTGGGGGTGCCATATTGTCCTGTTCGCCTGAGAGAGGAGATCCTGCCTCAGGGGAATGGGCCAAGGGGCTGCTACGAGCAGCTGAATCAGCTCTGAAAACCAATGCTGGTTCTTCCAGAGGGGGGCCACCAGGAGAACCTTGTGTTCTTGTTCTCTGACTCGCCTGATTACCTGTGGGATCAGGGCGATCGGGGGAAATGCATAAAGGAGGAGGTTGGGTCAGTCGTGGGCCAAAGCATCCCTGTCCTTCGAATAATAAATTGGGCAGTGAGAGTTGTCTTCTGAGGTGAATAGGTCTACCTCTGCCTTGCCAAAGATCTCCCAGATTTCCTGAACCGTCTGCGGATGGAGCATTCACTCCTCTGAGGGGACCTTGCTCTGTGATAGCATGTCTGCTCCTCAGTTCAATCTGCCCGGTACATGCCCTGCTCTCAGCGAACGCAAGTTGAGCCGAGCCCATTCCAGGAGGCGCTATACCAGAATGAAGAGGCGCTTCGAGGAGAGTCCTCCCTGGCGATTTATGTAGGACATCACAGACATGCTGTCCGAGCGGACCAGAACGTGGTGTCCCTTCAGGTCTGGCAGGAAGAACTGACAGGCCCAACACACTGCTAGCATTTCCAGGCAGTTAATGTGAAGCCCTTCCTCTGCTTTCGACCAATGACCGAAATTCGATTTGCTGTCACACAGAGCTCCCCAACCCCTGTTGGAAGCATCTGTAGAGACAACCGTCCTCTTGCAAACCATTCCCAGGGCCATGCCCTGTTCCATCCACTGAGAGTCCTTCCAAGGGGCTAGGGCTGTTACTCAGGCCTGATCCACCTTGATACGTAGGCGTCCGTGATGCCGCGCATGGGATGGAACCCGCGGTTTCAGCCAGCGCTGAAGGGGCCGCATACAACGCTCTAAGTGACTGAGGAGGAGGATCCTGCGAGATAGCAATTCTGTCTCTGACTGGGCCAAAATGAGCCAGTCATCGAGGTAGTTGAGAATGCGGATTCGTAAATCCACTTCGTAAAAGTGCAGGGAGCCAGAGACAGTCCGAAGGGAAGGACCGTATATTGATAAGCCACTCCCTCGAAGGTGAATCTCAAGAATCGCCTGTGATGGGGGCAGTCTGGATGTGAAAGTAAGCATCTTTCAGATCCAGAGAAAAGAACCAGTCCCCTGTGTGAATTTGTGAGAAGATCTGCTTCAGCGTAGTCATCCTGAACGGCCTGTCCATGAGGGCGCGTTCAGGCGTCTGAGATCAAAGATGGGCCGGAGGCCGCCATCCTTTTTGGGGATGAGGAAGTAACGGCTGTAGAAGCCTGATTCGCTCTGAACTGGAAGAACCGTCTCAATGGCTCCTTTTGCCAGCAGATTCATCACCTCGGAGTGCAGAACGTATGCGTCATTGCTCTGAACTGAGGTGGGAACCATGCCACTGAAACGCGGGGGTCTTTGAGCGAATTGAAGTGAATAACCTCGTTTTATTATCCCCAAAACCCATTCTGACACTCCAGGGATGGCCTGTCAGGCCTCGGCCTGTGTGGCAAGGGGCTGGATTAGTTCGAGTGGCTGGTCACTGCATGGGGACAGGGCACTCGTGAGAAATGGAAGAGGAAATTTGCTCTCTTTTTGAAAATGTTTGTGCTTTATTTTGTCCACTATAACAGCGGATGGTTGCTTGGGCGCTTGAACGTGCCCAGAAATCGCAACAGACACATTGCCTTCTGCACCCCAAACTGAATGGGGTGATAGGAGGCTTAAGAGAGGTCGCTTGGGGGATGGTCCAGCTGTAGCGAGACTTGGCTCCCCCCTCTTCCTGTCCTGCAGATCAGGATGACGCCTGTGGCGTGGGGTCCAACGCTAGCTTGGGCCAGGGTCCCTGGCGCTTCAGGAAGGGGTAGCGTCTGGCTGAACGGGAATGCCCTCGGCGCCCTCGGGACGGCAGCAGCAGGTGCAGGCTTCGCAGGCTGTTGAGTCGGCATAGGCTTAGAGCGACTAGAGGCAGCTGCAGAGCTGGAGTGCTTCGGCAGTGTTATGGCTGTTTTTGGTTCTGTTTTGCTGTTGTTTTCTTTGTTTCTATAGGTTGCCAGCTAAGGATCCACCTGTTCTTAATTGGAGGACTAGGTATTTAAGAGTCCCATCCTTGTTTGGGAGGAGGCTGCTTCTTTTGTTAACATCCTGCCTTTGAGCTCTGCTGGACAGCTGGACCCCTTTGCCATTATCTTTCTTTAAATCTTTTTTCTGTTTATTATTCATTTATTTGCTATAATTAATTCTTTATTCCTATCTGTAACCCCTAGACTGAATAAATTCTTTTGGTTTAGAATGATACTTTTGGACTCAGTTCCCTTATTTATTGTTGTTTCCCAAGTCGGGATGTAACAGCAGGAAGTGTCGCATGGCCTGGGACAACTTCTGCGCCTCTGTAAAGCGCTCCACGAAACCCTTCGCTGCAGGTCCAAATAGGCCAGTGGGGGAGATCGGGGCGTCAAGGAAGGGGACTTTGTCCGTGTCCTTGATTTCTGTCAAGGTGAGCCTTAAGTGGCACTCAAGCACCACTAGGCTGGCCATAGATCTCCCAATTGCCTGGGTTGTGGTCTTAGTGGCGCGCAAGGCCTGGTCCGTCACGCTTCTTCTCCCTGAGCGTCGCGGGGTCCGGGCCAGACTCGTCCATGCAGGAAAGGAGTTTCCCTGAAAGACCTGAAGGACCGCCATGGAATGGAGCGCCTGTCCAGCCGAGGAGTAGGCACATCCAGCAAGAGCTGAAGTAGTCCTACACGGCTTGGACAGATGGGTGGCCTTTGCCTTCCAGCCGATGGCAGTGGGCGGGCAGAGATGCGCGGTCACTGACTCGTCCAGGGGAGGCAGCTTCTCGTACCCCTTTTCTTCAGCGCCATCTACCAAAGTGAGGGCGGATGAAGCGGAAGTATGGAGGCCTTTTTTGCCCAGTAGGGGGCACACCACAACCTGGAGAGCTCTTCGTAGACCTCCGGGAAGAACGGAGAGTATCGCTGGGCGAGGGGCCTGACGGCGCCCCGGCAGGAACCATTCATCCAGATGGTAGCGAGAGGGCTCCTCCGCCAGAGACCACTCTAATCCCAGCTCTTCGACCGCTTTCGAGAGGACGCGGAAAAGTTCAGCGTCCATCCAGACTTAGGCGGCGCTGCGCTCGGACGACGGCAAGGGGGTGGGGGTGGTAACCGAGCCCGACAGCTCCTCTGCGTCCGAGGCTGCCAATGGCAGCTCGTCGTCACTCCCACTGAACGAGACCAGGTCGCTCGCGCTGGCGGAGGGACGCTGGTCAGGTTGAGTAAAGACGATGGGGGATGCCTCTCTGTGTGGAGAGAGCGAGGCACGCGGGACCTGAGCTGACGTGAGCTCACTCGCATCCGAGTGCTGAAGATCTCTGCCCCGCTGCTTTTTCCTCACAGGTTCCTGGGAGGAAGAAAATGCGATGGCGCGAGGGGTTTCCGCATGGGATTTCCCCAAGCAGGACACGCACTCACTGTGGCCATCATCAGCGTGCAGGGGGGACCTGCACGTGCTGCAATAACGGCGCGGCATTTGAAACAATGCCGATTTGCTCTTTTAGAATGCTCTTTTAGGATCATTGCTGGATGGTGGCAGGGGAAGCGGGACCACTGCTGCTACGACGCTGAAGGCAGCGGATAAGCTGAGCAGAGAGAGGTCGCTGGTTCCACTGCGAGGCATGTCAACGGTGAGCGGGCTTCTGCAGATCAGCGGAGAACGTCGTCGTCGCTGAAGGAGAAGAAATCTGAGGATCCTGTAGCGAAACA